TGATATATAATGAACCTCCAGGGTTTCCTAAAAGTATCTATGGATAAATCAATTGATTGTAAAGATACTATTTCAATGCACAATCATTGTGTTTTGATTAGTGCAATAACCTACAAGTCCCAAGATCGTATTTACTATATACGGGGTTGAAGAAGGTTGTAAGACTAACGCAAAATTCATCGTAGCATACATCAAAACTCAAAAACGAGTTTTTTCCAACCAAGGGAGAATGATGCAATGTAAAATTATTTTTATTATAATATTTATTTAATTTCAAAGGATGTGTATTTTAATTTTCATTTTAGGGTGTATTTTTAAGTTTTCTTAATGATTATAGAATTTTTTATATTATTATTTACTATGCACTAGTTACTATTCATAGGTACTAATAATGGGTCCTATTCGTGGGTTATTGTTCGTATTTTTGAAATTTTTTAATATTATTAAAGCGTATTTTGGTTTATGACGAGCGTTGTGCACGATGCACCACACAAATCACTCAATGTGCATTATGCACATGCAAAGTGTAACAATGTTGCCCGCACTTGTGACGAGCATTGTTCCGTGCACCATGAAATTTGCGCATTCTACAAAACACATGCACACGAAGCACTACATAAGTTCACTTAGTATTCGGTCTTGTGTACTGTTCACTGTGCACAACACAAATCATCACTCAATGTGCACTATTCGTATGCAAATTATAGGCACGTTGCCCATACTTCTGCACGAGCATTGTGCAGCCATGCACCATGCAATTTGCACTGCATTCCTAAAAACACATGCACATGAAGCACTTATGTTTAAGTTATGATGTGGTGTCAATTTCTTAATCATATGGATAATTAATGTCCGCTTTATTATTATTGTCAAAGACTTTACCCAACTAATGGGATTAGCTATACGAATCCTAATCTGTCATTCTGTTCTATTACGATTCATAGCCTAAGTGAGGCCACAAGTCCCTATATCTTTTCTCACTACTTCCAACCATATCCTTTTATGCTTACCCCTTGCCCTTTTTGAGCCTTCCACTTGAACTAACTCGTACCTCCAAAGAGGTGTTGTACTGGATCTACGTCACATATGGCCAGCCCACCTAACTCGCACCTCGAATGTCTTTATTTCAAATTCTTTCCCTACTTGCTTTGCCACTCATCCATCTCAACATCCCCATCTCTGCTACACTCATTCTATAGGTATAATGTTTTTTGACTGGCCAACATTCCGCTGCATAGAGCAACGCCGATCTTGAAGTTGTCCTACAGAACTTTCTATTCAGCCTCATTAGTATGCAGCGATCACATAAAATTCCAGTTGCACATCTCTACTTCACCCACCAAGCTCTAATTCTATGTACGACATCTTCCTCAATCTCTCCATTTTTCTGGATGATCAACCCAAGATATCCAAAATTCACTTTTTTTGGTATTTCCTGGCCGTTGATCTTAACTACTTCCTCGTCTCTACTCCTATTATTACTAAACTTGCATTCTATTTACTATGTCTTAGTATGACTAGTTTTAAAACCTTTAGATTCTAGAGCATCCCTCTAAAGTTATAATTTTATGTGGACGTTGTTTTGGGTCTCACCGATCAAAACTGTGTCATCTGCAAACAACATGCACTACGGTACGTCATCTTGTAGGTACCTAGCTAGTAGTTCACAACTAAGACCAAGAGGTATGGGCTCAATGCTGGCCTCTGATGTAGACCTATTGTCATTGAAAACTCACGTGTCCCTCCACTAGTTGTCCATACACTAGTTATTTCTCCATCTTACATATCTCTTACCAAGTCAATGTAGTGTCTAGACATTCATTTCTTTTCCAACACCCACCAAATCAAATCTCGAGGTACTCTATCATAAGCTTTTTTTATAACAATAAAGACAATGTGGTGGTATTTTCCTTTATCAATCAGTTGCTTAAGTAAGAAAATAGCTTCAGTTGTTGACCTCAGTAAGAAAATAGCTTCAGTTGTTGACCTCCCTAGCATAAAACCGAATTGGCTTTTGATACACTTGTTTTATGCCTTAGTCAGTGCTCAATCACTCTCTCCCAGAGCTTCACAGTGTGGCTCATTCCTCCATTCATCTGGCATTTTCTTTATTCTCAATACCTTGTTGAATAGCTTATTCAGCCAGTCAATGCCAATCTCACCCATGCACTTCCAAACCTCTATCGGGATACCATCTGGTCCTACAGCCTTTCCTATCTTCATGCTCTTCAAAGCTTCTTTCACTTCCGATATCTTAATCCTACGAATGCATCTATGACCTTCGCGCTCATTTGTGTCAACGGTTCCTTCTACTGTTGTGATCCCATTGTGTTCATCATTTAATAATTTTTTAACTCTCCACCTTTCATTGACCTCTTTATCCTTCACCAAGACCCTTTGATCATCACTCTTAATGTATTTAATATGGTCTAGATCTTTACAGTTTTTCTCTCTCTCATTTTTGCTAATTTGAAAACATCTTTTTCACATTTTCTTGTTCCCAGTTTTCTATATCGATTATCATATGCCTTAAGTTTAGCCTTACTTACTATTTGTTTAGCATTTTTCTTAGCATTTTTATATTCTTCTAAGATTTTATCATTTCTATTACACTGCAAAGTTTTATAACATGACCGTTTTTCGCTAATAGCCTTCTGAACCTCATCACTCCACCACCAAGTTTTCTTATTGAAATTTTTTCCCTCTAGATTCTTTTAAAACTTCTTTTGTCACTTTCTTAATACAGACAGTCATCTCATTCCGCATAACATTGAGCTCAGGTTCAAAGTTTCATCTTCCTTCATTACCCTTCTCTTCCATGTCCTTATGCAGATGTCCATAACTATGAGTCTATGTTGGGTAGTCAAACTCTCTCCTAGAATAACCTTGCAGCCTTTACATAATAGTCGATCTACCTTCTTAACTAGGAAGAAGTCCATTTGGCTTTTATGTGATCCACTCTTATAGGTTACACCAAATGTTCATCTTGCTTTTTAAAGGAAGTGTTTGCTATTTCTAAGTCATAGGCCATAGCAAAATCTAGAATAGCCTCACCAATCTCATTTCTTTCCTCAAACCCATATCCCCCATGTATCCCTTCATATCCTCAACTATTCTTCCCTACATGACCATTTAAGTCCCCTTCTAAGTTCTCTCTCCATTTGGTAGGTCTACCCATGTCCTCCCAAATTCGTCTCTTGATTCTATCATTTAATCCTACTTGTGGTGCATATGCACTAATTACGTTAATATCGTTTCTCCTAATACAAGTTTAATTAATAAGAGCCTATCACCTAAATTAATGTACCCTTGGACATTAATTAAATATTATTTAAGAGATGGTGGGAGCCCTAGGAGGCTAGCACGTGATGTTTTACATCAATTAACCTGTGAAGACAAAGCTTAGGCTTTGAACCCTAGCTTTCGGTGGGGAGGAAACCTTAGGGTTTCTCCAAGTTTTTGCTTGTGTTTAGCTTGAAAACCTCTTTACTTTTAGTGTTCTTCAAATTGCCCTATTTCAATTTTTTGTGGCAAAGTGGTAACAAATTCTTAGCCTTAAACCTAAGCACAAGGCCACTGTCCACACTCCCCCCCTTCCCCCAACCAAAGCAAGAAGTAGTGAAGCTAAACCTTAATTGTTGCTCTCTTGGTCACCCTAGGCCCACACAGACTAGGGATGTTATGCAATAGTGCTACTCTTTTTTCAGGCCCTATTCAGGTTGCAAATTGAGCTACTTCTAAAGCAAGGGTGCCGCTAGAAGGCCTAAGACATTTCTGTGATGGTTGGAACCACTCTTTAAGTGGAAGGGGACTAACAAAATGTCACTATTCGGGCTATCAACAAGAATTCGGCACAATGGAAACTACTTCATATCTTTGGCCAAATTCAAGAATTTAAGAGGCTACTGGGAATCTCCTTCAAGCATGTGGAGGGAAGCAAACATGTAGGGGAATACGCTGCTTGTAGTCCTAAGGCCTAACATGGAGAACAATTTTCAGGTTCCCCCTCATGCTTACATCTCCGTCTCCTTTCCCCCCGTCTTCATCTTTACCTTCTCTATTTCTAGTCCTTTTACCTTTTAAGTACCAATTTTGGAAGCAGAATTTTACACTTAATACAATACACTCAACTTCTTCCAAAAAAAGGGACATGATCTTATGAAATCCAATTTTATATAAAACAGGCAGTAATCAGATCTCCATCATCATTGGAATACAACAAAGTGTGAAGAGGATAGGCAACAAGTTCAAACATTGCCTATCAACATCCTTGGTAAGACACCATCGTGAAGATTAGAGTCCTATACACGTCTTGCACGACCAGTTCCTATAGGATCATTGCATAAACATTAAAACCATAAGATCACTATCTCTAATAATGTTGCCACTTTATGACTCATTTCAAGTGCCGTGATTATAGGCAAGATAGCTGCACTTCTTAATCCTTTTTATTTTGTCATTATATTTTTCATGGTCCATTCATATCAAGGATTTATAATTTCAAAACCACATATACATGATTGAAATATTCCTCTGTAAAACTACAAGCCCATCATTATAGTTATTGAATACATTCTTCAGTATCAAGCTAACAATAAAGGATCCATACATAAATTAAAATGTTTAAACTAGTAGATTATCATCAATTGGTACCACTTTCATAGTGAAGCTATATTTCCTTTTGGAATTTGTCTGGCAAATATCCCACATTTTCATGATCTTAAGTATCTAAAAGTGCAAGCGAATGCAGAGATATATGAATGAGATGAACATAAAAAGTGAGAAAAAGAAGTACATTCCCCCAGGCAACTAAATTCTCAAAAAAAAGATAATATAACCGCGTGCATTATATTTGGCCCATATAAGTACTTCGTCAGTAAAATACTATCCTGTACAAATCATCTATATCAATCCACAAGTAAAGGTTGTTAAAATGTCCAAATTCATTTTCCTATTGTGCATAACAAAACTGTTGAAAAGGAAAATAAAGTAAATGTTACCTCTGATCTGTTTCTTGAATAGAAATAACGAAGATGCAGTGACTTCGGCTACTAGCCATGTTCATTTCTGTCTGCTGTTAAAGTGGCATCAAGTATCAAGATTTTTTTTTCCCCCTTGTGTATTCAGGTAAGTTGAGGCAAAAGCAAATCTCCACAAAACAGTTTGCTTCTAAGCATGAATCAGAAATATATGGATACGTGTCTCCCCAACAGCTCTATTAGCGATTCCCTCCTATATCATGAATCGTCCAAAGAAAAATAGTAATATCAATGACCATACTGCTGAATATAAAATCATAGTATTCAATTGCCAAACTATTGATCTAAGAACAAAAAGAAACTAATATAAAATTATCTTACAGAAAGATAGCTCAATGCTTCCTCTGGGTTGATAATACAAATCTGGCAAGCAATGGAGAAGTTACAAGCTATAAAACTTTAAGGTTTTAATGCACATATGTGTTAATAGAAATATAGCATTCCATTTCTTAATTTCACCAACAGTAGCCCCAAATTACATTCTGTTTAAGAAGAAAGGGAACAACATTCAATATTTACAACTTACCGATCCCAAGTCCACTACATGTTAATCACTTAATCGAATAACCTTACAAAACCAGTTGTAACAAGAGCAACAATAACTTGAGTGGCTTGGAAAGTGAACCTACTTCAGTGGTTCCCAAAAGAAAGATTCCTTGTCCCTTGATTTCCTTCACTTGCACATAGTCGTTTGATGTGTCAAAAAGGTCTCTACAAGATGGAGATCAATGTCTAATTTGTGCTTACCTCTCAAGAAAATATGAGTTAAGACTCTCAAAACATGCTTTTATTAATAGTAAGAGAAATAGTCAAAAGAAAATGAAGTGCAGAGAAATCACATATTGCATTTGAGTTCAAATATGTGCAACATAGAAAGGTGTGAATAGATTAAACACCCTCTGAGAAAGATTCTGACCTTATTTTCTCCATGTAGATTTCCACCTAAGGAACCTCATGTAATTTAGTCAGAGTAACCAGATATTCTGCTAGAGTAAATGATAACATACATCTTGTTGTCAAGAACATCTTACCATGGATAACTTGACTGTGTATTTGGCCACTCCATCAACACACTTGATGGACTCAAAAAGTCCTTCAAATACTCGTGGAAGTATTCCCTTTTGTTGCTCATCACACCCTAGTATACTTGGACCCTGCTTCAAGAGAATCACTAATGCATCTTATATAAAGGTATTTAGAACAAACTAAACTATTCATACTCTTTCCTATATTTAAATATTATTTAGGTCATCATTTCACATAACTTTTACTTTTATGGAGTTTACTCAGGAGTGAAATGACTTCACCTCCATACTGTAGGTCTTCCCAGCTCCAGTCTGTTACAAAAACATATGGAAGGTAGAAAATCGATCAACAAAATATTTGTAAGCCATTAAACTATATTTTCAAAGGAGAGGTTGTTAGACAGACAGAGAGATTGACTGATTGCTAAACAGATAGATAGATTGAGAGGGAGATGTTGATTTGTCGAAACTCTGTCAAAAACTTGTCAAAACTAGAGAGGAAGAGAATGTTCGACAAATTTGAGACTTTTATCAAAGAAATAAAGGAGGGGGTTGTCAAAAGTTCAGTCAACTTGGCAAGTCAGTCCTAGCTATGAATTCCAAGCCTTTTACTTCTTAGATGGCAAGATGAGTCAACCTATGTGTCATTGTAAACTAACAGAAACTTGGTAAAACCCAGTCAACTCAGCAAGTCAGTACAAGTGTTGGATGTTAAAATGGTCCTCAAGATGACAAGATCAGTTGAGTCAGCAACAATAAAAGCAATACATGCATACTGGATAAACTCACTTGCATACATTTATTTAATGTCCAGTGTGCAAATGGGCAGTTGATGCCCACATCCTAACGAGATAATTTCAATCATTACTTGCATTTTTCCTTTAGTAAAAGTTCTTTACACGATTCCACAAAAAAACAAATTATATATAATATGATCAACAGATGCATGCTTTATATAGAGATCTCAATACGTCTCCCCTTGATGTTTAGTTTTTAGACCAAAACATGGTACTGGTGGATGGAATTTTAGAACCCATACTTTAGGAAGCAATCTTCTTTAGTAGTAGCAGTTGTTCATGTTTGTGGATAGCACTGCTATTCCCAGAAGTGATTTCTTTGCTGTTAAAGAACTTAATTTCAGTAAAAGAGTCCAATAAGAAAGATATCAATATTAATCCTTTGTTGCCCTAACCTAGAATAGAAGAATATCATGACAGATCAATGCCCTTATGCATGTGTTAAACACATTTTGCATGCGTCAAGTGCTTTCCAGTGCAAATTAGTTGAAGACAAACATAAATAGAGCCAAGTCAGAAGTTGTAACCATCTCAAAGATCCCATGATCCCACTCAATAAGGAAAATGTAATATCTTATCATCAATCATATAAAGATTATTATTATTGGGTCTAGCGGGCTCCAAATAAACCTCAAAATTCACACTTTTGTACAGTATACAGAACCCCAAAAATGATTTATAACAGCAAGGTGAAATTTTTATCACCATGCTCATTCTTTAATATACCAATGCTGATTATTCAGGTATCAAGAATAAAGATAAATATATATATATATATATATATATATATATCTTAGGGTACTCACACTATGGTAGTAATTTATCATTGTACTCAATAATTTTGGACACTTCTATACCCTTGTTTTGTACATGGAGTATTTTTTTAGTAAGGGATTTTTGGTCATTAGGAGGGGACGTGACGTCATCCACATGGGGTATGGGGTGTGACATCACCCCATGTGGATGACGTCATACCCCTCTTAATGACCAAAAATGCCCTTACTAAAAAGACTCCATATATAAAACAAAGTTATATGTGTCCAAATTTTGTTGAATACAATGACAAATTACTCTATAATGTGAGCGACCTAACATAACCCTATATATATATATTTATATATATATGGTAGAAATGTAAAAGAGTACTTTGAAGTAAGCCAATTGAAACACTAATAAATTCATATACATGGCTGTGAAATAAATATCCATCCATATAAGAGATAGTAATACGATTACCATCAAAAGATCAATCTACAAATCATACCAGCTATAAATTCTTTGGGAATCATCTGATGCTAAAGTCCTAACATCAATGCTAAATTGCTAATATCGAGCTAATCTATGTATCATATCATGTTCAATAAGCAAAACTGGGTAAATGACTACAACACAGCAATCAATAAATGATTGACGAGGCTCAGCATCACAAACCAATGCATAAAGCACTAGAAAACTACAGCTTAACCTGTCCATAAGTAATGATTGTTCCATTAATTCCATTTACAGCATCTGCTCAAGACAAACCACAAGCATGAAAATAATCAGGCCTCTGAATATTCCATACCGTATAATTTGCATATACAAGGTTAGTAAAATTACAAAGCATATCAATATCTAAAATGTATTTCGTCTTTATATAATTTTCTGTAGATTTCAATTTTTTTTCCATGGCAGACCTTTGACTATGGGCTTTGCCATGAAGTTGTACACATCAGCCTGCGTTGATCTCTGATAGAATACTCTATCAAAGGAAAATGCATGCTCTTCCTCCTTTTCGTCCTACCAAAGACAAAAACAAGTCTATTTGATCCATTTCCGGAAACATTTTAGGATGATGCCTACCTGATAAGAGATCTTAGCAATAACAAGTCAACCTTGAATAGAAATGACTCTTCATCCATGATTTGGAAGCAAACAGAATCACTTCCCTCTCGCTTCTCCCTTGAATTAAATGGTCGAAATCGCACAGAAACAGTCACATTTGACATCTTGACAAGATTGCTTCTCTTATGAAAAGAATTTTCAATCCTGCAACAAAGTTTGCTTGAAAATCAATTTATCAGTAAAACTTGAAAATCAGTTTATTATTAAAAAATATCATTCATGAGACGTGAAAAACTGAAAAACCAGAGTTCTTATCAAAATAACTTTAATTCTGAAACAGGAACCATACATAAACCGCAAAATCTTAGCTGCAGAAGCTCTCTGTTTCTGTAATCTGGATCAAGCTAATGATTTTCAAAACGATCACTTCAAAATCGATTTCTGTCAAGATACATTTAATCCTCTAACAAATTAACAGCGAAACAGATTTCCTATAAAAATGACTTTCATTTTGCAACAACAGTGAGCATCAGCAGTAACAAACATTTCTGCTTCCGTTAACAAAGGATCAATGAAATAATTTCGAAGCAATTTCTTCAAAACCAATTTCCTATCAAAATCTGGAAAAATTCAATGACGGACCCAGACTGTCTACTTTAATAACTCCTATTTTGCAACAAAAGGTTAAGATCTTATACGTGAAGGTGGGGAAATCAAACTCGGAAATGATCCTAGGGTTTCAGATTGAGCTTGCATACCTTGGAATCTTGGTATACAGACGATATCAAGGAAGCAGGACGAACCTTACCCGTCAGATAATGTCTGATAAAACATGAACGATGCAAATGACCTATTTATAGGATTTTGAAGCTTACTCCCGCCCTTTTCAAATCCAGATTTAAACAAGCGAAAAAGAAAAGGGTGGTTATATTATGTTTGGTATAAGGAAGTTTCAGTCGTTAAATTTAAAAGCAGATGGTTAGAAATGCACTATAGACCAAGCTCAATATTCTAAAAAAAATTAATCAAACTTTGTACATCACCCAAAGCTGTTGGATTATGCTTTTTTTGTACTAAAAATAAATGGTTTTAAGATATAATATTTAAAGTTTATACAATATGCAAACAGTTCGGTTGAAGAGATTATTTCAACTTTCGTTGTCGAAAGACTGCCCTATCCTCGCAATCATGTGCAGGAAAAAAGACTTTTAATTTCTAAATGTAGATCGTAATAAGTCACTATTTTAAGAGTTTCAAGCGCTCATCGATCTACTCAATCTATAAATGTAGATCGTAATAAGTCATTATTTTAATATTTTCAAGTGGCTCATAGATCTAATCAATCTATAGTATGCTTAGATTTTAAAATTTTATGAATAAAGATAAAAAAGATTTGCAAATTATCGTAAGGTCTTGGACACACGTTTCTAATCAAACTATATCTTCAGCCAAAATTTAGAGGTAGTGTAAATAAGATGTCATAAATGCACTTTTCAAAAAGCGGACCATTACGCATAATTGGTCACCAGCCAATTCTGAGTTGAATCCAACAAGTTAATGACTCGGCTTGACCAACTTAAAAAATTAAAAATATATAAATAAAAATAAATATTAATTTATGCAACATCCCCAATATTTTTTAAAATTTAAAAATATCGTCAATCTTTTATATTTAATTCCATATTCTATTTTTTTAAGAGCATATCTAGCATTTTATTTTTTATTTTTCTATATATCATTGACCTAAAATTTTGTACGCTCACCACACATACATAAAAATTAAATTTAATTAAATAAAATAACCAAAAAACTTCATACAATTTTGAGAGGTATGCTAGTCATTTCATTTAGTTAAAATATTACTTTAATTTTTTTACATATGGTGAGAAGTAGAGGCACTCAAAATTCAAGCATAATCCAATTTGTAAAAGAAACTAAAAATAAAAATAATACACACTCTAAAAAAGTCGGGTATGAGCGTAAAATATGAAATAGTAAGCGTAATTTTTTAACTTAGGAAAATATAAATTATTTGTAAATTTCCCTAATAAAGATTAAACAATGGTTAAATAGTGTCTAGGAACCTTACGTCATTTTAAAAATAATGATTTTATAATTAAATAATGATAATATAATTTTATAGTCCATTTTAAGGACTCCTAGGTTATGATAAAATTAGACCGGGGAGGCAGCCAGTCTAATTTTAAGGACTGACCAATTTTTGGGACTATCCATCTGATTATGTTCGGACTGAGATCATTTGAGATCTCATTGAGTACAAAAGATTTGGAATCATTACTTAGTCGACTGTTAACACTGCTGATGGCTTTGCCAAAAGTGGTGTTCTCAATTGTTTTTTGTACTATTGTATTTCTGTCTAAGAATGCCTAGATGTAAAATTTTGTACCCATCTATTTATTAATAATATTGCTTACCTTTGGCAAAAAAAAAAAAGACCGGCTGCCTCCCCGTCCCTTTTAGACTCCAGTTTTCCCGAGAGACTTTTGGATACTGACTAAAGGAAAGGTTTGAAAACGGACTAAAGGAAAGGTATAATATTATACTCTTTCATTTTGAATCAATTTGTGTAAATAATATTAACCCAAACACGGATTCTATACCTCCTATACTCATATTTAGAAATGAGTTCTCTCTTACCAAGAAAAAATTATTTTCCATATATGTTTTGGACCTAATATTTGAGTCTTTTGTTGGGTTTATGTGGTATTTAAAGGCTTTATGAGTGCTTGTAAAATGAAATGATATAGTGGAATATGAACTCAGTGGGAGTGTGGTCCCTCGTAGGCCATACTAAACAAACAATATTTGCAGATACCGAACTATGCTTGATGATCTAGGCCAGTCAGTTGGGAAAACCCATGTTACTTGGGCATGAAGAACAAACCGATGATGGTTTATGGTTAGCCCTTGATGAGGTCGGAGAACATGCCCAGATGAGTGAGCCGAGGGACTATGTGACCCTTGTGTGTGATGATGTTGTACAGAGACAGTGGTCAAAACCTTATCTACGTACCATCACACGGCATGCATATCGATAGAACGTTCGGAAAAGCCAGAAATGCACTTTTTAGGGTTAAGCGTATACATATGCGAGAGATACCCCTATGCGCCATAGAGTTGTGGTCGTATAAGGTCTTGATGACCTTGACTTGTCTCTAGGAGAGGACCTGAAATCCACAGACTGAGATTGTGATCCCTTGGCTCATCGGCCGGACTTTAGTGACCTGCTAATGAGCCCCTGCTTGGACTGTGGGTCATGAGAAATACTAGGTCGATCTGATAAAGCAAGTGTGGTCTTTAGTCTACAGTTGAAAGTGGAGTGCCCCATGATTGTTGATTCTTAAACCATATGGATCATTTTCCCATCAAATTAATTTAATTACGTTTGTTTTATGATGGAAAATATTTTAAGATTATTATTTGAATTTTTATGAACCCCTGGATATTTTATTTATAATTTTTGGATTTATAAAATTAAATATATTGATTTTAAAAGTGTTTAAATATTCAAATAATATTCTAAAATCTTTTTATTAATTTTAAATATATAAAATATCATGAGGGCCGATTGTGCACATGGGCCCATCATATTTTTAGAAGGTGGGGCCCATGAGTGCCTCCCTTGGGTGGCACACCCACCCTTATTCTATTCCCTCTTTTTTGGTGATACGGCATGTGGACATATGGTTGGAAGATATTGACTAAATATTGACTTGATATATTTTTGAAAGATTTTGTGGAAAGATTGAGTAGACTTGTGCTATTGTATGGTATGCACAATATTTTTTATTAGATTTAATTTATTTAATTTCTATTGATGGGAAAATGGTTTAGGAAAGGGGGATAATGCTTCATGCACCTTCCATAATGTTGATCGCCCATCTATAGAATGAATGACTCAGATCTCTCACCCCACAAGTCACATTTGATCGACGGTCTATGTTCAATATCACAAAAAGATGCAAGCCAAAGAAAACCCTAAGAAACCCTAATTTATTCAAAGCCTATAAAAATGGATTGTCTCTACCTAAAATCTCTACACCTTATCTTTCTACTTCTCTCTCTTAAGAAAGTTTATCTCTCTCATGTTTGATCTCTCTTTCTCCCACATTGTGAAAGAACCTAAGGGTTTAGGTTATGGAATTCTTCTCTCCTATCTCTCAAATATGGATTTATGGCTAAGGGTTTTAAGGTTTAGCAAAGAAATAATCAATCTCTCTCAAACTAGGTTGCTAAGATAATTCACCTAAGGTTTGAGTTTGTGATCAAAGGCGTTCATGTTCCATGGGTGTGGCTTAACCGAAATTTTTTTTCTCGGTTCAAGATTGAACCTAGACCTTTGATCCCGCGCCATCGGATGGTGGTGACTCAGTGTGGGGTGTAATAAGCCCGGTTGAGGTAATCTCTGGCACTCTTCCTTTTATTTCTTGCAATCTTATCTTTTATTCTCAATCATAATGCATAGTTGTTTCAATGGCATCAAGTTGTTAAGATCTTGGTTTTATTGTTATATTGATTTTATTTTGAAATTTATCTTATTATAATAGATACCACATGTAAGCGATCTTTTGCCAAAAAAAAGGGGTGAAGAAAAAAAAATAAAAAAAATGTATTCCCCTGTAAAAGATCACATAGGTTTTTCTTTCATCTTTAATAAAGAGATCGTGAATATACAAATCATAAATAAATTTTAGAAACTGAAAATAATTTTTTTTACATAAAAGACTAACTTTTGTTAAAGGACCACCAAGTTGCATCCATCTTTAAAATAGATATATTATGCCTCACGGACGTTATGCATGCAACAATTTTGCTACTAGCTATCCCATGTCAACATTTCTTCCAGTTATTCATAAGAGTTCGAATAAGAGTTGGGAAAAGTTTACATAGAGCCGCTCTAAACAATCAAATTTGAGCCTATCTCAAAAAGTTCACTAGTAGAGGTTATTTTGATGTCCAAATATCTTCAAATTGATCATCTTGACATCAAGATGCATGGACATGAGAAAAAATAGATTTCAAGTTTTGAAAGTAGTGTATTTTGTAATTTTTAGACCGTCAATTTTCAAGATTTTCAAGTTTTCATAGATCTGTTGATCTATACTATTTTTGAAACTTTGAACTTTATAAATAAATATAAAAATATATTTTAAGGCTGTCACAAAAATTTCCAATAAGAAAACCATATTTCTTGATACTATTTGAAGGTAGGCTCTGATTTGATTGTTTAGAGCCTAGGTTCTATACAAACCGCACCTAGCAATATTACTGTTTGAGCAACAATCATGCACTAGCATTTAAGGAACTTTCATGTGAGACGATGGAGATGAGATGCCCTTACTTGAAGGCTTTCCTCGAGAAAAATATTTTTCTATGTAAACACATTCCATGAAAAAATTTTGCAAATTTTATTTTCACCATGTTTGTTAACACCTTTAAAAAGCATTACATAATTTGTGTATATGAAGAAATTTACGTACAAACACTATTGCGGGGTTAATCATGTTTATCCCAAAGTACGAGTGGCACCCCCCTCTTGCGGCTTTTCTTTTTCCCAAGTTGCCCCTATCCGACAATGGCAACACCGGTCAGGGTTTTT